TTTATGTACAGTGCCCTGAGACAACGTATGTTGTGACTTGGTGCTATATAAATAAACTTGAACTTAATATTTTAAAGTATTTTGAAGTGTATTGTATTTGTTATTTTGTAATTATGTAGTTTTACATTTAATATTTTAGGGTGACTTTCACCATCTGTCTGGGGACTGCAGGTGAAAAATAGCCTTCTGGCTAATTCTAGCATATTTACAGAAATGTTATGAATATGTACTGTCCCTGTAATAAATAAAGATTAAAAAATGTCATTTTTAGAGCATTTATTTCTTATTTCAAAATGTTATTTGCTGGATTCACGTCTACTAAAAAAACAATTACAAAGCACCAGTTTACACCTGATTTGTATGAAAACCTTGTGGATACGAAGCCTGCTAAGAAGACAGAACAAAGCTCGACCAGCTACTGTAGAAGCCTGAGAAAACCTCTCGTCCAGTAGAATTAAGACATTTTTATGTTTTATTCTTATGTACCGTTTGATTTTATGTTGCTTTGTGTTCTTAATCATTTCCTGAGCACTTCAATGTAGCTGTATAAAGAGATCAGGGTTTCCCCTACATGTAAATGATCGTGGCGCACTGCCATGGCTAAATAAAAGCCGCCACACCTTCGGAATGAAGTTGTTTTGTATTTGTTTGTTTTTTAATCAACGTAAAACAGGGGTTGACACAATCATTGTTTAGTTTGTCCGAGACAATCTATTTTCATTTCGGACAACCAGATCCCGCCTCCCAGTGGTCCGGTGAACAACCAAGAAAAAAGACCTGGATTTAAGTTTTCCTCCGCAGGCATTCGTCGTAAAAATGAACAAGAGAAAAAAAACTTGTTAAAGCCGTGTAGGGATTAAACTGACGGTTCTTTCACCGAATAAATAGAACCAAAGTCAAGGTTTTACCCAATGAGAACAGAGCAGGGCGGGTCGTGCCGTCTGCGCGTTGCCCTTTTTCCCTTTCTCTGTGGGTGGGGGGTCAGTCTCCCTCAGTTCAGGACGGTGAACACCTCCCGGGAAAGCCTTCTGCGTTTCCTGGACTATTTTCCACCGAGGATTACATTGTATTTTATATATATTATATTTCTAAAAACACCTCGCAGCATTTCTCCTGTAACACTGTGTGTTTACGAGCACAACAAAACCACGACAGATCAGCTGTTTTTAAAGTGAGGGCTGAGAGGCAGTTTGACTGCAGCTGCTGCACCTGTCCATGCGCATCGTGGCTCCGACCAGCACGGGACTTCAGAGTCTACATGTCAACCCATTCAGACGGTTACTTGTATAATGAGCATCAAAAATCTGGAATTTGCGCAAAAAAATCATTATTATTCACACGCAGGTGGAGTGGAGGTGCAAGTAGACTGCAGCCGCGCGGGGAGGGGGAGGGACGCTCTTTTAAAGACGTGTCTACGTTTGACTTAGATTTTTTTCTAAAATCACAGAGTTCCGAGTCAGCTTCAGGTGTTTGTAGTTAATCATAATATTTTCTAAATTTAACCAGGTGTTTCAATGCATTTAAATTACACAATCATTTTACTGGAGAAACTTGTCAGTTTGGTTAAAAAAACAGTAATTTACTTTTTTTTCTTCTGTGCAGAGAACTTCCTCTGCTATAATGTTTTTCAAATACCGGTAAACATATCAAAGCCCCTCAGCTGAAAACATTAAAATGATAGAAAAGATGTTTAAAGGGATCCCTGATTAGTTGTAATATTAGACTTCATTTGATAAACAAATATTTTAACTGTAAAATAAATACTGTAAATATGC